GAGGGATGGACAGAGGGAGGAATGGGTGGAGGGATGGAGGGACAGAGGGGCGGAGGGATGGAGAGGTGGACAGAGAAATGGGTAGACGGAGGGAGGGATGGGTGGATGGACAGAGGGACAAGGGGATGGGCAGAGGGATGGGTGGACAGATGGCGGGAGGGATGGGTGGACGGACGGACAGAGGGACAAAGGGATGGGTGGACGGTTGGAGGGATGGACAGAGGGACGGGTGGAGGGACAGAGGGACAGGGCGGGCTGGAAAGGAGCCCCCTGCTCCCCTTCCTCACCTGGACGTAATTATTGAATTTCCGGAGGCCTTCGTTAGCCAGAATCTCGTTTATCGTCGGCTTGGGCACCTTCTCCAGTCCTGCAGCACAAATAACCGGGCAGGAATTCTTCCCCCAGTACATTTGGGACGAGACTCCCGGGCCTGAGCCAGGAGCTCCCCCGTTTCAGGGGTCACCGGCAGCGAGCTCCATCCCAACCCGGGAAATCAAATCCACGCGGCTTTTTAATTAACGCTGCTTACTTCTGTCCCCCGTCCTTGCTGCTGGCAGCACTTTGCGGCCATGAGCTGGGTTTCGGGGTGGCGCGCATTCACCCAGCCCATCGCATTTTGCAGGAAAAGGGGAAAAACAACCCACTGAGCCCCATTTTTCAGTCTTCCCCTTACCCTCGAACATCGCCGCCTCGCCGAACCCCTCCTCTTGCTTCTCCTTGAGGAGCTGGTAGCAGGCGCTGGGGCTGGCCAGGAGCAGCCGAAAACCCTGAGAAGGGAGAAAGGGATGATTTGGGGGGGTATAAAGGTTTCACCCCGCTTTTTCCCCCCCCACGGGACTCGTTACCTTCCGATCGGGCGCAGGGATGAAGCTGAGAAACTCGTCTACGTGCCCGACGTGGAGCCAGTCGGAAAACAGCTCCACCGGCGCCTGCACTTGTTGGGCAACGAGAAAATCCTTGACGGCTTTCGCCATCCGCCGGCCGCCGAGTCTGGCAGGGGGGGGGCCACAATGGGGGGCTGCCATTTTGGGGTGCAACCAGCCTCAAATGGTGCATAGAAATCCTTTTGTGTGTTTGTTTCTTTGTTTTTTTCCCAAGGCTCTGATCCCTCCGTCCTGCGTCTCACCTGGGGAAGCTGCTGCCGATCAGGATACGGCCCAAGGGGTACTCCTTGCCCCGCACCGTCACGGGGGGGCTCACCTCCAAATTGCCGAAGGAATCGAGGCTGGAACTACCCTCTGGCGCTTGCCGGGCCACGTAGCCAAAATCGGGGCCCTGAATGGGGGGAAAAAAAGGCAATAATGGTTAAAAACAAAGCTGTAAGTGCCCAAAGTGCAGCGCTCCCAAATCACCCTCCTTGCTGGCTCTTCCCTTCCCAAAAATGCAAGAAAAAAATAGATTTAGTTCTATTTTTTTTATGGGTTTGAAAAGCTTTGCGCCCTGCTGGGGAAGGAAGGAAGGGGTCGGATACCAGGATGCTCTTGACGGGGAAATCCTTCAGCCCCCGGTCGCGGGGCGAGTCGAAGACAACGGGGAAGGTCTTGTGGGGGGCTTGCACGTAGCCGAATTCAACCTCGTCCTGGAGAAGGGATGGAGAAGATGGGGGGAAGCCCCCCTGGAGCTGCCAGCCCCCAACAATGGGGCTGGGCATCATCCTGCCCCCACCTGGATCCAGCGGTCCTGGCGGTTCTCCAGCAGCGGGCAGACGGTGAGCGGGCACTTGGCTTTTTCGGCCAGGGCGCCCACGGACGCCACGAAATCCTCGTTGTTGTCCACACTGGGAAGAAAAATGGGGTGTGGGGGCTGATCCAGCACCGGGCAGGATGCGGCTGCTCACCCAGCACCCACCTGCAGACAAAGACCTCCAGCGGTGCCGCCGTGTTGGGGGTCATGATCCACGGAGCCACGCGGAAAACCACCGTGTCGGTGAAGATCGGCGTCTCCAGCAAACCCTGAGAGGGCGGGG